ATCAAAATTTGGTTGTTTAGTCCCTGCTGCCCATGAGTCCTGCTTTGCCCAACTGACCATAGCCATCCTCCTCCTGCTGCTGCTAAGGCACACACGGCCTGGGTCTATGTGAGATAGCTGCTGGCTACCCCTGTCCTTTCTGAGGCCGCTTGTACCATTCTCCAAATAGCACACTATATTTCTTTCCTGAAATATATTTCAGTATGTTAAATTATATGTCCAGATGCCATTTTAGTAGATATAACACAATGGTTAAAATTGCCATGAAGTCTAATATATATTAAGAAAGATCATCATGTTAAACCCTGATAGATATTTTATGGACAGAGATAAGCTAATGGGGAAAAAAACCCATATGGCAGGCTAAACCCTTGGGATATCTCCGGCTAACATAAAGCTACCTTATGATGATGGCAGCTTTAACTTAGAGCCTTTCATTTTAACATCTATATCTTGGAAGGAATGGGTTTTTTTTAAATGATTCTGCTCCCCTGTTGCCTATTTGGAGAACAAATATATAGTGTTACACCTCTGAAATGCTGTCAAGTTTTAGGGTTCAGGTAAGCTGGGATCTTCATTTTCGTTTTAAAAAGCAGCCAGATATATTTAATTGTTGATAGAAACTGATGCTGGGGAATAACCCATACTTGAAAATAGTGGGGAAGATGTTTCTTTGGAATGCTTGGACTAAACAAGGGATCAATATTTCAAGCAGTTGGCTTCTAACAGTGATTTTAAAGACTTGGAAAGATTGCATGTTGAATATGACTAACCAAGAATATTTGCTTAACAAATTATACAACCAAAGTCTAGCTAAACAGTGTGACCAGATGCTTTAGCAATCTATGAGGCACCTGCAATTTTAGGTTCCTTAAGAAATGCTATGCTGTAACAGAAACCCAGAATCTGATTTTATATGGAATTAAAAAGTAAAAGTAAAATTAGTATTACTGCAGTTGTACACCTGAATTGTGAAATGAAGAATGCAATATCTAAAAGAATCAATAGATACAAGTGTTAAGAAATGTAAAATTTGTTACGATTTAAACATCAATTCATCATAAAATATTATCTCATGTTAATTGGACCTCTTTAAAAAAAAATTAAAAAGGGGTGGAGATTGAATTGTTCATGTTAGCATTATTTTAAAAAATGTAAAGGATTGTAACTCATATAATACAATCTTATCTAACTACTATTTTGTTTTGGTTTCAAATTGGCTATGTCAATATTTTGACCAGAAATATACTTAAGGATTTCAGTATGTATCACTCCTTCAAGATAGGCCAGACTTGGAAACCAAGGTCATGCATGCTAATACTACTTTCATTATAAGGTTATAGTAACAAAATCTTCAGAGCCTGAATATATACCCTCCCCCCTTTTTTAATGTCTGTGAGAATACAGAGGGTCTTGACTGAGATGTTTATTTTCAGGTTATAGTTTTGGCCTGGATTTCTTTTATCTGACCACGCTCTTGGTTGCAGCTACTCCTCTTGTTTCTTGAGGTTATTCCTTCCTTCTGCTATTACTGTACAGTATGATGAAGTATCTTCTGAAAACATGGAAAATGTCATCTCATCAAGAATTTTGACTGTATCTAGCTGGAGGTACAGAAGATTTATATAATTGGAAAGAAACTTATTCTCCTGATGTTATTGCATGGATTCAGGATACACATTTATTATCTATTTTTTAAAAGTATCTTCCATAAAATTGAGAAGATAACCCAATATGTTGTGATGTAGACTAGATTTATTGATAGCCCTAAGGACTGAATTAACTTTATATTGTTATAAAGTTTGACACGGATTGTCCCCCATTTTTTCTTTTGGTCACATTTAAAATAAATGACTGTAAGACTTTCCAGATAGTCCACAAAAAAACAGATGCTGGATTTTCAGAAATGCTACTTTATTGTTTTAGCATTTTTTAACAGAAACTTGAAAACTTGTTCGAAACCTTCACTAGTACCTTTTTAAGGTCAACATGTTCAAGTTGAGCCCCTAGTCTTTTTTCTTATGCTTGTACTTTCCCAGGAATTAATAACTATTTTGCATATCCTATTTTCTTTCTAAGGACATGTTACATTTCTATACCATCACTATATTGCCCACAGTTGCTATAATGCAGTGTTTCATTCCAGATCTGAAACTCTAAATATCCCTAGTTATTCCATATATTTTTTTTGCATCAGTACCAGGGGGGCATACAATAAATCACAATATTCCGATCAATCAAGCCCAGTGTTATGCAGTCTTCTGATGTATTGGGCATTTCCTGATATATTTAAGTAAAAAGTAGTAGGAGAGGGCTGTATAAGCAGGGCAATTTATTACAGATTGCAGGAGGATGGGATGCCCGCACACAATTATACAAGGCAGCAAGTTTTCTTCTCTTTTCTCCTGTTTAGGGTCTCTCCATCTCAAGCTATGTGTCTGTAACAAGTTTCTTGGGTGAGCTATGAACTAAACAAAGTGGTAATAGATAGTTGAAGGAAGCCAGAGAAAAACATATGTTGCATATCCTGCTTTTCCCTCTAAATGATAATCAAGAATCTAATTATTTCTTGCCCTTTCTCCTGACTGAGAACACTTTTGTTCAATCTGAATCAAGTATCAATTTATCAAGTCCATAACTGATATCAGGAATTGTTTTAAGACTTGAACACCTTCCTTGGATGTCAGCTTTTGATCATCGATAATCAAAAATATTGTCTAGATCTCCTATTTCCTACTGGGTCTTCTTGGAAAACATGACAGAGTCAACTATGACACTTTATACCCAAACAAAAAGTGCAACAACTATTTTTAAAGGCCTCCAGTCCCCATGGAGTACATCTGAACCTTTCCACTCCTAGTTAACTTTAACAAAACTCTGCAGTATGCCAGTTGAGGTCAGAAACATTAATAACATAATCATAAAGAATCACACACACCCTTTCCCATGGGGGTAAGGAAAGTTTTTTTTAAAAGGTAACAGAGATGGAACACTTAGGAAAGCTACACTTTCTTATCCCTTGTCACTGGTTTGAGGATAGAGAGACCATTTTGGGGGTTACTGGAACAACTTGTGGTGCTTGCACAACCACCTCCCATCTCAATGACTAATTGAAGAGTGCTCTGTGAGCAGAACCACAGCAAATAATTATCCCAGCTGCCAATTTTTCATAATTTGAGCTATATGCCTTGATGGACCACTTGCCTTGATGGACCACTTGCCCAACATCTCCAGCCACAGGGAACTGACCCATCACAGGGACTGGTTGTTCTTCAGCATTCAGTACAGACTTTCTTACATAGTATTATTAGCAAGGGAAGTCCAAGGCTGGGGAGTTTCCTCTTTCCCCCTCCTGTACCAGTCCAAGTCAAACGAATACAACCTTGTGCAGGCAAGGAACTTAGGAGTTTATTTTTGAAAGATTGTTGTCATGCTCTGGTACCATGAGAAGATGTTTTACTGGTAGCCAATATTTAAGTATACAGTGGAGGCACACGCTGGAGTTAGATCCAAGTTACCCTTAAGTCTGTTCAAATTCTAGAGAGGTTGATGCTACCCAGCAGTGATGAAACGAGCTAAACACACTACGCGGCCGTCATACTTTTGACTGCAATTTCACAGCAAATTCTGTGCTTTTGACCGCCACCCGACATGTAAAAATTAATTCTTCGGCTACTAAAACGGTACTTGTTCTGCTGTGAAATTAAAGCACGGGAATCTTACGAGGAGAAAAAGCACATAACGTCTGAAAACGAGCCGCCTGGAAGGCTTTCAGTTCCACTCTATCTGACCACATTTAGCGAGAAGTGGGCTTCCTTTTACTGCAATTTAGCGGACGGAAAGGGAAAAAAAAACACCCCGAGAAAGGCGATTGGCTATAATTAATACAACTTTTCTTTCGCTGCGTTTGAGAAGGGCTTGGGGAGGGAGGGACAAACCGGGAAACGCAGCGCCAATTACAATCCGGTTGGGGGCGCTCCCAAGAGCGGTCCCAGCTACGTATTTCACTCCCTTCCTCCTTCCACATGTTTTGCAGTCATGGCGTTGTGAAAAGAAACGGGGGGGAAAGCGTGCAGCACAATACAGCACCCTTCTTAGGCTCACGTGTTACTCCTTGGGAACGAAAGGGGGGAAAAACTAAGAACACCCGAGTCAGCCTTTCTATGGTTTGATTTGAAAGACGTTTACTAGCGAGTAAAGCTACGGGGTAATCTGTGGGACTTACTTTCAGGTGCCTGGAGATCCTCCAGCCCAGCTTGTGGTGCATTGTGGGGAGAAAAGGTCCCTTTTATTTTCTTTTTTGCTGCAGTCAAATATAAATTCATCCGAGACTGCGCCCTGTGCAGCACGGACGGGGTTTACTTTCGAGTAACGTGCACAGGGCAACATCGGGATCTACTCAAATCCACCCCCACCCTTCCCGGCATGTGCTTTAGACCTTTACATGAAAGCAACCCCAAACCGGTCACATTCAAGAAAGCTTATCAGGGCCCCTCTAAAATCTAGCTACGAGCTGCCAAAGGAGGAAGCGGTGCGACATCCACGCAGTTCTTTTTGACTCTTGCCAGCCCGGAATTAGCCCAATATCATTCTCGGTGTAGCAAGCCGAGCCGAGGCCGCTTACGGGTTGGAGAGGTCCAGTAAACGGGATTCATTTCGTGGGGTGGATCTACAGCTTTTAGGAAAGAGCGAGATACGGGGTAAACGAACCGCACCCCTAATGCCTTAGAATTACCAATGCGATTAACTGGTAAGGGAAGCTGTCTAGTCCTGTGTCCTGTAATAGCTATAATAGGAAACGGCACCTTACACAGGCTACAGTACTCCACCGAGGGGTTCCAAGGTATTATTACTAGAGCTATTACTACAGCAGCAATTGCTGCTGCTGCTACCTTACTTCCGGGTTTGCAAACTCAGGACCAGACCCAGACCCATCTCGGCGGAGGGATTCAATTTTCTCTTCTAGCCTCCTCCCCCTTTTTTGCTTCTGCGCTCCCCCCTCTTTTTTTTTTGCACGAAAATAATTTGACAGCGTTTTGCTGACACTGGAATTTTGTACCCGGGATGGGGGGGAGGGGGCAGAGTTCCATTCTACGAAGCACGCATGGAATTTATTGAAAAGGTAAGTCTAACTCCCTTGAGTCTCTCCCTCCCCCCACGCGTGATCTTGCAATTAGTTATTCCACCCTCCCCAATGCAATCGCCAAGGGGAGGGTACATCGCGCGCTGCTCGTGGAGGGAAGAAGCGAAGGAGGGGGAGGAGGTTGAGTATATTTCCTGGCGGAGCGATATTTGTTTACAGGATGAGCTGTAATGTAAGCAAAGTAGGACCGCAGTAAATAGCACTGTAGTAAATTAAAATTGCAATTGCCTTATCGGTGCAAAACAAATTAAGGGGGGAAAAATTGCGCCCTACAGTGATCTTGGACCTGCATGCACTTGTTGCAGAGTTGCACCAGGTAGGCAAACGCTTAAGAACTTCCATTCTTTCATTAACCTACAAGCTCAACTTTTTTTTTAAGTTTGCAGTTTAGTCACTTTCGGTGTGTACGGTTAAGTAGGCGAGGCCCTCCCTGCCTCCTCCTCCTCCTTGCTGCAAGATATCCCAGTAGGAAAAGAGCAGAGCACCAAGGTTGGCAGTTTTTTTTTTATATATAAAAAAGATGTCCCTATTGCTTAGAATTTCCTTGGGCGGTGAGTTGCTTAAAACTGAAATCGTGTGCAGGCGAATGTCTCGAAGGACGGCAATTAAAACTGAAACGACCGTGTGTCATATTTTACATATAGTGCGTGTCTGTGTGTGTGTGCAAGCTCTTAAGTTTGTGTGCGGGCTGACAAGGTACCCATCTGCGTGGATCTGACACTTGATAAGGCGCTGCTGTACCTGCTTGCAATCGGTGGGAAATTGGAAAGCTAGAGATTTGCATCTTGGCCACTCCCTAACTCCCGTACACCCATGCTTGTTTTCCCTATGGCGTCTGCTGCTTCGCAGTCGACCAAGCAAAGAGACACTTAAAGTAAGATGGATGCACTTTTTTTTTAATCCGGAGACATGAGTCAGATTCAGTCCTTGAAAATTGAGAAGATAATATGGTTGAGGTTTTTTTGTTTTTAAATAAAAGAGGAATATGAAATGTCAGCCCTGAGGCTACAATATGCCTTCTTTCGAGAGACTGGGAAGTTTGATTCAAGATCCTTCTTCTGTGCGTGACATCAATAGAATCAAAGAGTGTGTGTAGTTCTGAGTATTGTAATGCAATGATTCCCAACATACTATCAAGGGTTATGTTTTATGCAACTTTTGGTTGATACTTGCTGAAAAGTATTGTGGTGTGAAGTCACAAAATTCTTAAAAATGGTTCCACTGGTTTTTGTTTTTGGTGGGGGTTTCTTTTCTTTTTTTGTTATACAAAGAGTTCTAAACATGTGGCAGCTGGCCTTCCTACAAATGTATTAGCATTTTTTGTTTTCCTGCACAAAAGCTTCCCTCCCCCGCTTATGGAAAACATTTCCTTTTTCCTTTAGAAACATTTTATTTTCATCCATTGGTCAGTTTAATAAACTCATGGTAGATAATAAGAGCTGAATCTAGACTTTGCTTTTACCATACCTAAACTATTACAGTAAAGCAGAGTCACTATTAATTTGCCATACTGATTTGAATAATTATAGCTAAGTTATAGCCTAGTTGATATAAAAACAATATGCTGTAATAATACCAATATGCTAAAGCAATCCATGGTGATTGAAGGAATTGATATCCTTTCTACTTAAATAGCAAGCCATTGCTTTATTCCCAAGACTTGCTATTTTGGAGCATATCTCCAGAGTTGCTGGCAACTTAAGATTCACAGTTAAAAATTTCTGAGGTTGAAAAACATTCTAGTTTAATAGAAAGAAGGACTAGCCAAGATACGATAGCAGTGTTCCAATATCTCAGGGGTTGCTACAAAGAAGAGGGAGTCAAACTATTCTCCAAGGCACCTGAGGGTAGAACAAGAAGCAATGGGTGGAAACTAATCAAGGAGAGAAGCAACTTAGAACTGAGGAGAAATTTCCTGACAGAACAATTAATCAGTGGAACAGCTTGCCTCCAGAAGTTGTGAATGCCCCAACACTGGAAGTCTTTAATAAGATGTTGGATAGCCATTTGTCTGAAACGGTATAGGGTTTCCTGCCTAGGCAGGGGGTTGGACTAGAAGACCTGCAAGGTCTCTTCCAACTCTGCTATTATATTATTGTATTGTATTATTATTGGTCTGGGCCATACGTATTTAGACCAGCTGTGGAGATGACAACAAATATTGTCTTCTAGTTATGCGCTTACTAGAGGCCCCTGTTAGCCATGCAGGGGTGTCAAACTCACATCACTTAGACTGGATGCACTGGCCAAGCTCACCCCTGGTTTAGTGAAGAGCGGAAAAGTCATGATACAACATATAACAATGCGTTTGACACCCATGCACTACAGGTAGTCCTTGACCTACAATCATTTGTTTAGTGACAGTTCAAAGTTACAACTGCACTGAAAAAAGTGGCTTATGACAGTTTTTTGCATTTAGGACCATTGTAGCAACCATGATCAAAATTCAGATTCTTGGCAACTGGTTCATATTTATGACGGTTTCAGTGTCTTGGGGTCATGAGATCACATTTTGCAACCTTCTGACAAGCAAAGTCAATGGGGAAGCCACATTCAATTAACAGCAGTTAACAACTGAAGTGATTCACTTAACAACCTGGTAGGAAAAGTCATAAAATAGGACGCAACTCATTTAACTCTTTCGCTTAGCAAAATAAATTTCATGCTCAATTATGGTTGTAGGTCAAGGACTACCTGTATGTGAACAAGGAAGCTGGAGTAGATACACCTTTTTTCTTTTTTTAAATCTAAACTAGTTTTTCTCAGCCTGGTAACCTCCAAATGTATTCACCTGCAGTTTACACTGTCCCTAGCCAGAGTTGGGGAAAGTTAGTAATTTCAACCATGAGGACTTAAGGGAAAGTAGCCTGAAGTTGTACATAAATGCATTTTATATATTTAGCCTCAAGATCGATCTATATAGTATGGCCCCAGTTTAACTCTTCTCAGCTACTTCTGCATATGTCCATGCACATATGTACAGTAGTATGCATACACGCTAACAATACACAGTGGCTATTTTAACATGTGCTATAATGTTAAAAGACATAATGATAATATAAGCATTGTGATAATAATAATGGATTGGTAGTGTAGACATTGTGCTGAACCATAATTTTATTTGATTCATGAGTTAATAAAACCCAGCCAGAATGGATTGTCACAGAAAATTTTCCTCACATTGACAGATGCTCTCCACTGCAATATCTCACATCTGAAGACAAAGGCTACATGAATAGATTTTAAATGACCTTTTTGTGGCAACTGTACCATTTGCTTTTAAATGAATACTAATTTAAAAGTAATTAACATGTATTAAATTGCATTTTGCTTGCTTGATTACTGAAGCCTTTTGAATTTCCTGACAATAGAATCCTATGTGCCTGTTCACGTGGGAGCTCAGATCAATGGTGCTTCCTTTCCAGGTAAGCATCAGTGTGGGATTGCTGCAGTCTTATATCTGTGAATTAAAATGGGACTGATTTGGAAATAGACCTGCACAGAAGTCACCCTTAAATATTGCAGTCCTGTTTGAATCTAATATCTATATGGGGCTTATTTGTAATTCATTAACTCAGGCTTCAGAATTTTGGTCTGACTGTTTCTAATTGGCTATAACTCACTTTTTAGGAACACAGTCAGTTAGCATTAGTAAGTTTTTAATGTGCTTTACAAATATATCCATGGCTTTCTCCCTTTCTTTCTCAGAAAATGACTTTTTCAGTTCCTTGTTATTTTCAGGTTCAAGTATTACACGAAGATGTGGCTTTTTTATTTCCCTCTTTGACTAAAGCTTTGAAAAATTTATAGAATATAAATATAATATATATTTATAAAATATAAATATAAATGTGTGTGTGTGTGTATATATGCAAATGTATGTAAATATTTGTGCGTAGATGTATATATGTGTCTGTGTTTTTAATATATTATCAGTGATTATTTTGCTTTATGAACTTGGGTTTATGATAAGAAAAGCTTATAAATAATATTGTTACCAGGCCTTTAAAAGGAATTTGTCATGAGCCAGAGTTTCACTTTGAAATCAGACAAGAGTAAAGTGTTTGATTTTATGAAATTCTGTGCTTTTGGCAGAATCGCAAACATACTTTTATCTTCTAGTGTATCTCTGCATTTTAATGCATTTTGACAAAGTGGATTTGGGGGCTGATTTCAGTGTGTGCAAATTTTTCAGCTAATAAGATTTTTAAAAAGCATTGGTTACCAGATACTGTACCCACATAACATTAGAAGCCATTATATGCTTAAGCCTGACTTATTCAGTAAATTACAATTGAGTTTGCACAGCATGCTTAGTCATAAAGCCATGGTTTACAAACTAACTGCATGGTTAATGCCACCGCTAAATAAACTGCATTATTTTTGACGTGATGCTTGTACTAGATCTTTAATAAAGGTGTACTGTAGAAAAACTCGAGTAGGTCTGGAAGAGAGGAGTGGAAATGTATCCTATAATAGATGGTAGACAAAAATAGCCTAAAATGAATAAGGTAACACATTTCAACTTGAGATAGTTTTCTCATAGAAATCTCACAGATTTTGTTCTTTGCCTTCTGAAAAGCAGGATTTAATATAATACTTTAAAGAGACATGTCCTGTGGGTCTCCCTCGTTGAAAGATTTCAAAGAGAGATTGGATAGTTATATAGAATTTTGGAGATGCAATAGCTTTGATTACTATGTATCAATGAGAATGAGGGACTGGATAGATTGTAAGGCCGCCTTCTCAGAAAAGTTACAGCCATGAAAATTGTTTGTTAGCAACCTAAAATGCATATCACATGGAAGATGGTGAAGTGCTATTTTGTATTGTCCAAAGTGGAAGGGAATGCACATCAAGTTAAATTGCAGGAAGTTGAGTTTCTATTGAATATTAATGGCCTAATGGTAGGAACAGTTTAACAGTACCACCAGTTATCTAGAGCAGTGATCTTCAAACCTTTTGATAGTGCACCCTATCAGGAAGCTGGGGAGAGGGGGCATGTATCCCAAAATTGTATGTATGTATGTATGTATGTATATATGTATGTATGTATGTATTTATTCATTCACTCATACATACATACATACATACATACATACATACATACATACATTTTGTATATGTGTGAGCTCTCATGATTATACACATTGTGAACCATATTCCAAAATAGAAATGTAAAAATAATGAGACAAAGGTAAAATAAACAGTATTCTAATATTGTCTTTCCTGCACCCCAGTGAATTCTTTTGTGCATCGCTAGGGTGCATGCTCTTCCCTTTGGGGACTACCAATCTAGGAGAGAATTGTGGTCCCTAAAATAGGTCCAAGTAGCAGCTGGATAAACCATCTGTCGGAGAGATGTTTTAAAATGAAGCTCAGCAATTTGGACTCAATGACTTAGTTATTCCAACTGATTTTTTTTTGCCATTGTGCCTCATACTTCATTTATTTTACAGTATTGAATTGTACAGATGATTTCAAGCAAA